CACTATAAATAGAAAAGGGAGCTCTGGTAGCATAGTGCCTAAGGCACTTGACTGCTAACCAGAAGGCTAGCGGTTCAAACTCACTCCTCAGAAGGAAGGTTGGGCAATCTACTTCCGTAGTGATACCACCTCGGAAGTCCAAGGAGGGGTTGCTTTGAGTTGGGTCTGACTTGAGGGCACATCACAACAACAACATAAATGGAAAAGCAGCACATGAAACCAACAATTGTATTTTTGCTTTGACGAGAAGGAAACTGGAGAAAAAACAAACCAAATTTTCTGATTTGCCAAGCAGTTATTTCTATTGGGATTTATTATTTAGTCCATTTAATAAACATTTATTGAGTGCCTACAAGTCAAGCATTATTCTATATGCTAGATTTATAGCAGAGAACAAGAAGAGAGACAAATTACCTGCTTTTATATAGTTTATGTTCCAATTCAGTAGATCATAGAACATAAATGAATAAATATGAGAAAATAAATGCCAAAAATCGTAAGAGCATAATTGGTAGCAAGAAACTGAGAGCTGTATTAGTTGGTTTCTTGGCATATATGCTAGTCTGAAAGTGATGCAGAAAGACTAGAAACAATAACCAATAAAAATGAGTAACTCAGAAGAAGTTATAGATAGGTATCTACTGTTTACATGCAAAGCAAGACTAACTTAATGCATCAAATTTCTAATTAAAAAAAAAATAAGCTTAAGAACCCTAAGTGGCTTCCACAAGCACATTATTACTATTCAAAAATATTTAAAACAGAGAACAAAAATTGTGTAGATTACAATTGAAAAACTGATTAAGCTAGATAGATTAACATCTATCTAGGGGCATGCTCTGGTAGCGTAGTGCCTAAAGGCACTTGACTGCTAACCAGAAGTCTGGCGGTTCAAACCCACCAGCCACTCCTCGGAAGGAAGGTTGAGCAATCTACTTCTGTAGTGATATCGCCTCAGAAACCCAAGGAGGGGTAGCTATGAGTTGGGTCCGACTCGAGGGCACCTAACAACAACAACAAGGGCATGCTGCTTTAATATTTATACTCAGAATGACTGTTAAAAACACCAATTTAACAGTTTTAGATTATTTTAGAAGAAAGAGAACAAATACTCCTCCAACAGAAAGTATAACTTTAGAAAGACAATATTCCAACAAGGAAGAAAAGACTAAATAAATGCCTGCAATAAGCATAAGCAAGGGAAGATAGGAAGAAGAGAGAGACACTGATTAGGCAATCAATTCAGAGGAATGGAGCTGCATTAGAAAAGAGCTAGCGGATAGGACCATTGGGTCTAGACAGTGTATCTTGGGAAAGTAGTGATGTCAGTAATGTTAAACCTGGAACATGTTAGAGATACTCTGTCCTTTGTTGCCTCAAAAATAACAGCTAGGTACCTATTTTTTCCTCATGCACATGGCAGTATATCCAAATAAGTTACCCTTGCCTAAGGAAAAAGAAATCAGACATTATAGTCAATTGGGAAATTCAATAACAGAATTCTGCTTGAAATGAACTATATCACCACATCACTTCTCTTGCACTGGCAGGGAATAAACAGTTAAACAGAAGTGATTGTTCCAGATCATTAACACCAAAGTTCAACAGCAAAGGTCTTTATTAGAACACTACCCCCACCTCAAAAAAAAAGACTAATATTCATCCGTCATAAATGTTCTCCACAAGTAGTAATCTTAACCATCCATTCTTTACACCTCTTAAGGATATTTTTCATTGTAGAAAATGGATACAATGATCAAATGGAAGAGAACATTTTAATAAAGTAAAGGATAAATCATATTACATTTCAATGACGTGTAAGGGAAGACATAACTGAGAAAGAAAATATTTACAAATACAGACTCTAACAACAGAACACTAAACAGTTACAGTAATTCATAAATGTAATTTATGATTTTTAGTAACAATAATATATTTCCCATAATCAAAAATAAGCCAATGAAAAGAGACTGCTATATATTATCTAGAAAGCTAAGAAATTGTCTATTGATTTTATTTTACAATAGTTTTTGAAGAAAATGATTTTTACATTGGAAAATAAAAATCCTATATATAATTATTATTTTTTTTTAAAACACACAGGTTTTAAGAAAACTAAATGTTGATGACATTGATACACAGGCTATCCTACAGTTACATAAAAGAGGTAAAGTCAGTGAGCAGGTGTCCAAGGCAAGAGGCTTAGTATTCACATTTATGTATCTCTATATGCTGGTTTTCCCTTCTCTCTTCTTTCATTTTTCTACTTAGCTTATAGCAAAAACCAAGGTAAAATGCTCTTTTCACTCCCCAACTAACTGCCTAACCTTCTCCCTAGCTCAGAAGTAATCTACCTCAAGAAAATTTTATCCATCTAAAAATATTTTTTAATAAAATTTAAGTAATAATACATAACAAGGTCAATGGTAGAATAAGAATCTCACATAGCTTGATGAGGATCTAATTTAAAAGCTTTTATAAATAGGACCATGGTCTCATGGGACAATCCAGGCAACTGGCATAGTATGTTCTATCTCCCATTATAGTGAGTAGTGTCTGGGTTCTTAAAAGTTTACAAGCAGCCTTCTAAGATACAACTTTTGGTCTTTATTTGTTTGGACAAAAGAGAAAGAAGGAAACTCAAGAATCAGAGAAGGAATTGGACTGCAAGACTAACTGTCTGTATACACCACTGCCTTTGACACCTTGAGAGCAGAGGAGTTAGATGCTGTCTGGCTCCTAATACTGAATCTTCTAATCAGAGACACAATAGATGAACCTTGATACATGGGGAAAGAATGTGGAACAGAACTTCAAATTCGTAAAGAATCTGGACTTACTGGACGTATTAAGTCTGGAGGATGCCCTGACTATGGCCCTGAGTTGCTCTTCAAACTTGGAATTGAAACTATCTCCTGAAGTCACTTTAATCTAATAGCCCAAAGAGTAAAGCCTGCCACCCTTGAGTATTTTGCTTCTATTTAAAATAGAATAAAATAAAACTATCTATATAAGACCACACAGATAGATTACATAGATTCATTCATTCATTCATTCAGTTTTGGTATATAGGACCACAGGGTCAACCACTATTTTAAAGCATAGATGAGAAGGTCATGGGGCAGGGAAATGAAGTAAACAGAAGTGCAACAACTAGAACAGAAATAATGAGAATGTTGATAAAAGGTGAAAAATGTAACCAGTGTCATTGATCATTGCATCTGGAAACTGTGGAATGGAAGCAGGTTTTGCTATGTCTGTTTTCACCAAAAATAAAATTAAATTAAAATACAAACTTTTGTAAACAGTCATTTCATAGAATGTACCAAAAACTTAAAACTCTCTATATATTCAAGGTGATCTTATTTCCTGGTGAGTATATCCAAAGGACATAATTAGAATTATAATGAAAGATTTATGTACCCAAGATACCAGTTGCAGTAACATCTATGACAGAGCAAATCAGATAAAATCAAATGTACAATAATAGGGTAACGGTCACATAAATTATATCACTTTCAAAGGATGTTATATTATGATATTTTCAAAGACTACAACAGGCAAAATGATCACAATGTAATGCCCATGTAAAATGTGGGGAGAAAAACACAGAGTTATTTAGACTAGAAAGAAAGGTGAAAATGACAGTGATTGTTTTTGAATGGGAGATGACAGCTAATTTTTTCAATTTTTATATATTCTATAATCAGAATTTATTACTTTTAAAATAAAAGAGAAGATGAAATATTTTCAAAACTGTGTTCAAAAAAAACCCTATTATATGAATTATTTAAGCTTCCATGGATAATTATCAATGAAAAGAGTTCTTAAATTTACAAAAAACTATCAGAGCTTTTTATAATATATTAAAGAAGGATGTGAACTTCTAAAAAAGCACACAGCTAGAGAAATAATGAAGTGTCATTATAATATTTACTCGGTAAATATTATTTCTTTTATTATTTATCTTTCCTAGAGGAAAGTAAGGAGCTCTGGTAGCATAGTGCCTAAGGCACTTAACTGCTAACCAGAGGCTGGAGGTTCAAGTCCACCAGCCACTCCTCAGAAGGAAGGTGGGCATCCTACTTCTGTAGTGATACTGCCTTGGAAACCCAAGGAGGGGTTGCTATGAGTCGGGGCCAACTCGACGGCACATAACAACAACAACAGAGGAAAGTAAACCAAGAAATAAACAATAAAAAATTTATTTTATATTACAGTACCATGGCATAGAAAGGACAAGAAACCATATTTCTAAAATAATATTATTCACTGGCACTATTTAAAAAAAAAAAAAAGTAAGAATATGAATCTGACTCCTATGTTGTTGTTGTTGTTATGTGCCGTTGAGTCACACCTGACTCATAGCGACCCCTCCTTGAGTTTCCGAGGCAGTATCACTACGGAAGTAGGATTGCCCAACCTTCCTTCCGAGGAGTGGCTGGTGGGTTTGAACCGCCAGCCGTCTGGTTAGCAGGCAAGTGTCTTAGCCACTATGCTACCAGAGCTCCCCTGACTCCTATAGATAGGCTTAAAATTAGTTTAAGTAAGATTTACAGTGATTAATTGCTCATAAACAATTCTGTAAAATGCAATAGAAAATCTTCACTTCATTTGTTCTCAGTATTTCCTAGTCTTCAAAATGGTATCATGTATGTCTATTTGTGTATACATATACATTCTATAGAAATGTAATTCTAAAAGCAATTTCAGCTTTATAAGTATTACTGTCAATATATCTACAAAGAGAGGATGCTTCATTTAAGCAGCACTTTATATCTTAGACTGCAGTTTCAACCTTACCCTTTGACTTAAATTAACTTTTCCAATTTTTGGTTTAACAACTGTTAATAAATATATGAGTCTATTACCTAAACAAAATTGTAGACAGTTATTGCTGAATTTTAAACTACATCTCAAAGAGCAAATTCAAAAAGCAGACTTTGAGGAGTTTAGACCAAATTAAAACTACAGCAACATTTCCGATTTCTCATAATTACCTTGTCTGGATCCATCTTTCCTCTGACGAATTCTTGCTTCCAAAATTGCAATGCCTGTTCCAATGTTAAACCAATGCCCTTCAGAAAAAGGCCGTACTGCATTCTGCCTCCATGACGAAGATGGTGATTTTCCCGCAAGGCTTTATGTAACTGACGCATGCAGGGTGGGAAAGATTTGGTAGAAAGCTACAAGAAAAACCAGTTTGGGATTATGTGGAAGTTTTACCAGGTCCCCATAATATCTGTTGATTTTGCAAATTCAATCTAACTGGAATAAAACTAAAAACTATAGTAAGTATTACTCTATTGTCACTATTATAGGTGAACTTTTTTGCTTAATATTTTTATATTGATTACATGTTGAAATGATAATAGTTCTAATATACGAGATGAAGTAAAAGCTATTAAAATTTGTTACACCTGTTTCTTTCTTTTTGTCTATTTCAATTAAACTTTTTCTTTTGAGAACAATTGTGGATCACATGCAGTTCCAAGAAATAATACAGTGAGATATCATATATCCTTTATCCAGTTTTCCCCAATGATAATTTCATGATACAAATAGCCAAAACAGGGAGAAATAGCGAGATCTTGCATATATTTGGAAGGCAGGACCAACAAAATTTCTTTTGATTGGATTCAAAGTGTGAGAGAAAAGAAAGAGTCACAGAAGTTTGGGGTATGAAAAAGTTGTATGCTTAAAATCAGTATTTCAGATATGGTATATTTACTCAGTTTGAGAGGATCTAAAGTTGGTTGAAATAAGACAGAAAATAACTGTGGAAATTAAGCAAAGATATTATATAAGGCTAGTGTATGAGATTATCAAAATGGATGTTGCAAAGGCCAAGAACAATAACAGAGTACCGCTAGGCATGAGCCAGGTATGAAAGTCAATGAATAAGGGGAATTGAGGGGAAAAAGAAAGCAGCAACAATTGGAGATATCAGATGGTACAGTGTGATTACATGGGCTTTAAAGGAGCTGGAGCTCTGACAATGGAAAGTAAAGAAATGGGTTGAAAGTGGCAATGTGGATCAAGGAAGATGCTTAACTTGCAACTACAACATGTGGAAGAAAAAGCACCCTTTCTACTTGAAGAGGGCCACAGGGACAACAATGTTGTTGAGAGAGCCGTATTTCAGGTAGAAGAAAAGCCTGAAGGGAACATTTGGAGAAGAAATCTAAAATATCAAGGGGTATGCAAATGATAAACTGTTCTGAGGATCAGAAGATACAAATATAGAGGTTAGAAGAGGTCTAGATAAAGATACATCTGAATCACTTAGCACAGGGTTTCAGGCACAGCCATGATCATTACATTATACTTATAATAATTTATCGTTACAAAGCTTATTTCTTTTTTTTTGAAATTTTTTACTGTGATCTGGGTGCAAATTTACAAAGCAGATTCGTTTTACTCTCAGCACATTTGGCCCAATTATAATCCCCAACCATAGAAAGCTCTCCTCCCTGTGACTACTCCTTCCCTGTGCCCTTCTTAGCTATGCCTTCCTGTCTGTCCAGCTTTCCCTCCTGTGAATGCTGCCCTTCTGATGTTTCATGGTTGATTGATCGATGGGATGAAATGCCCTAGGGTAGGTGGATGCATGTCCCTGGGGTAAGTGTTCTATTTCTAGGTCTTTCTACTGTTGGGCTGAGAGCCAATCCATGGAAAGAGTCCCTTTCCAGGCCTGAAGGATAACCCAAGGTCATAGTCTCGAGGGTTCTACCAATCTCTATCCAACCAGTAATTTTAGTCATTTTTGTGTTTTTGAACTTTGTTCCATATTTTTCGTCCCACTCTATCCAGGATCTCCACTTCTGATCCCTTTCTGAGTAGTCAGGATTGGTAGCTGAGCACAATCTAGTTCTTCTGGTCTCAGGGTCGTGAAGGCTGAGGTACTCATGGTCCATCTTTCTTTGGACTCATTTTTTCCAAATGATTTTGATTTTCTTCCCTCTTCTTTGCTCCAGATGAGAGGAGACAATGCATCTTAGATGGCCACTCAAAAGCTTTTAAGACCCCAGTCACTACTTAAGCTCACTTCTTATTTACTAAATGGTACTCCCCAAGTAAGGTTCATGAAGAAGGGAGATTTTCTATTTGTTCACCTTCACATTTACAGCAAGGAGCCTGGTGGCACAGTGATTGAGCACTTGGCTGCCAATTGATAGATAAGCAGACCAAACCCACCAGGTACTCTGCAGAAGAAAGATGTGGCAGTCTCTTTCTGTAAAGATTACAGTCTTGGAAACCCTATAGGGCAATTCTACTCTGTCCTATAGGGTTGCTTTAAGTAGGAATGACTCAACAGGATCGAGTTTGGTTTTGGTTTGGTATTTACAGCACAGTAATTGATACATAATGGATGGGCTCTGTATATACTCACTAAATGAATTAATGATTAAACTTTTACATCCCTCCACAGTATCCAGCCAAGTTCATTTTTGTTTGTATATAAGGAAAACATCTAGTCAGAATTAGGAACAGAATCAACTTCCAATCATTCACATAATAGAAAGTACCTAACAATCATATGAGGAGGGAAGACAATTAGAGATAGCATACTGTTTGAAAAAATTAAAGGACATGTAAGAACATGTAAGAACAAGTTTCAAATTAATTGTGTAAGGTATGCAATCCTACTGCTATTACTAGATATATTGACTATAAACAATTATAATTTTCAAATAAGAAAACAATTCATTCCAGTCTCAAATCTCATACTGTCTGGATGTAGTAAATCACTTACTAGCCATAAGTCTTTGTAAACTCTGTGGTGGAATCTGCTGTGCTGTAAGCAACTGAGGAGCTCCTGATTGTAAATGTTATCCACCTGGGGTATTTCTGTTGGGCGTGGCACAAAGCAATGTTCTGGGAAGTTCGCTTCCTCTCAGGTGCTTAGGATTCTGATGTTATGATTGGCTAGCTTGGCCACTCTGCCAGGCTCAAAAGGAGGCCTCCTACAGACAGTAGTCTCTCTCTGACTGCTGGCAGAGAAGGACTGTGCTGCTAAGAGCAACGCCTTCCTGAGAGACACGTGCTGCTGAGAAAGAGACACTAAGAGACACACATTGCTGAGAGAGACACCAAGAGACTTGCATTGCTGGGAGAGTGGATGAGAGAGACTGTTGACTGAGAGTCAGCAGGCTGAGAGAGATTGTGTGTTGTTCCTGAACTTGAATTGTAGCCTGGTGCTTCCCTAATAAACCCCATAATCTGTGAGTTCTGTGTGGCCACTGCAGTGAATTATTGAACCCAGCAGAGAGGTACTGGGTGCCGTGGGAAGAACAGTTGGTGTCAGGGTTAGTGAAAGGGCTGGAGAGAAGCAGAATGTCTGGCCTCACAGGAATAGGCCTTGGGCTACTGATGGTGATTCTGCCTTCCTCTTTTGCAGTTAGAGGAGGTCAGAAGATGTGGCCTCCTTGTCCCTTTGGCACTGTCTTTCTATCTTTCTCCTTACCTTAATATAACTTATTTCCAAGCATTAAAATCTCAGTGTATTTTTAAGTTAGTATAAATAATTTGGTAATTGTCTCAATAAAGATTATTTATGGCAGGGTATTTTTTTTTTTTTGGATGGAGTGAAAATTCTATTATATAGTAAAAACAAATTCTACAAATTCTAGTAAGATATGCTTATCCTTCATTGTACTTTGACAACACCAACTGAAAAGAAGTTGAAATACGCTATCCACTTACCAAGTGGCAACCCAGTGATGGAAGCCTATACTTAGAGTTTTCTGTATCTCCTTTTCTAAATGTATATGGTATTTAAATATAAACACCTAAAGTTCATTTAGCTATCATTACTTAAAAGTATTCCTTTGGAATAATTGCTTAAATTCTGTTATTATCATACTACAAGTAATTTTGGGATTAAATTTAGTTTTCCTATGATTTAAAAAATGGAATTTTCTTCCAAAATAAAACAACATTCTTTCCCATTCCCCACCAAAAGCAAATCTTTGGCCAAAGGAGATCTAAGTTTGTTCCACTGGCAAAAGTCTAGGTTTAAAAGGATGACTGATGCTTACCAAATCAATCTGATCTAAAGAAATCTTCCCAGCATTTCTCTGAGTACTGTAATCTTGACCAGTGTAGGAATGACTAGGAAAAAGAACAAAACATTAAAACAGGATTTTTTTAAGGAAAAAAAAAAAAAAAAACCTTTTTGGAACACTTCAAAGAAATTTCTTTCTTCTGACAAAGATTAAAGTCATAAAGAAAAAAATATTTAACATATAAACCTTAGCAGAAATGTGGCCAAATATTTTGAATGTATTTAATATAAAATATTTAAGTAACTTACCCCAAAGTAATTAAAAAAACTGACAGTTTGGATCTCTTGATTCCTGGTCTAGTTCTGCTTCCATTATAGAAGCATAATCCAAATTAAGGTTAAATATCTTAAACCCAAAATCTAAGGTCAAATCCAAAATGAGGTCAAACTATTTATCCTTTCAACATAGCAAAGAAGAAACTGGAACTAAATCAGGAACCATATGAATAGTGCTAGGTCCTACAGCAAGTCACATAGATTCTCTGAATCTGAGGTTCCTTATCTGTCAAATAAAGATGATAATGCCTACCCTGTAGGGTTGATGGGAGGTCTAAATTGAAATAATTTTTATAAAAGGCCTAATGTACAGAGGGAGCTCTGGTGGCACAGTGCCTAAGGCATTTCACTGCTAACCTCAAGGGGCAGTTCAAACCCATCAGTCACTCCTTGGATAGAAGACTGGGCAATCTACTTCTGAAGTGATACCACTTGGGAATCCAAGGAGGGGTCACTATGTGTCTAATCGACTTGAGGGTAGGGAGTTTGTTTTTTGTTTAATGTACAGTAATCACTGTTAAAATAAATAATACCTGACTAGTAGTCAGATCCAACCTTTATGATATGGATAAAGTAAAGCTTTCGGGACCTCCATTTGCTGACGTGGCAGGACTCAATTTGAGGAGAAACAGTTGCAAATATCCATTAGTAATCGGAACATTATTAATGTACAAAGTATGAACCTAGGAAAATTGGAAGTCATCAAAAATGAAATGAAACACATAAAGATTGATATCCCAGGCATAAGTGAGCTGAAATGGACTGGTTTGGGCCACTGTGAATCAGACAACCACATGATCTACTATGCTGGGAATGACAGTTTGAAGAGGAATGGCATGGCATTCATCATCACAAAGGATGTTTCAAGATCTGCCCTGTAGTACAATGCTGTCAATGAGATAGGATAATATTCATACGCCTACAAGGAAGACTAGTTAATACTATGATTATTCAAATTTATGTACCAATGACCAAAGCCAAAGATGAAGAAATTAATGATTTTTATCAACTTTTGCAGTCTGAAATTGACCAAACATACAATCTAGATGTGTTAATTATCACTGGTGACTGGAATGCAAAAGTTGGAAACAAAGAATTACCAGTAGCTGGAAAATTTGGCCTTGGTGATAAAAATAACTCTGGAGACCACATGATAGAATTTTGCAAGACCAACGACTCATTCATTGCAAATATCTTTTTTCAACAGCACAAATAATGGCTATACACATGGACATCACCACATGGAGTACACAGGAATCAGACTGACTATATCTGTGGCAAGAGCTGATAGAAAACCTCAATATCTTCGGCCAAAACAAGGCCATGAGCTATTGTAGAATAGATGATCAACTGCTCATATGCAAATTCAACCTGAAGTTCAAGACAATAAAAACAAATCCACAAGAGCCACAATATGACTTTGAATATATCCCTCCTGAATTTAGAGACTATCTAAAGAACAGATTTGATGCTTTGAACACCAATGACTGAAAACCAGAATAATTATGGGATGACATCAACAACATCATCCATGAAGAAAGCAAGAGGTCATTAAAAAAAAGACAAGAAAGGAAGAAAAGACCAAAATGGATGTCAGAGAGACTCAAAAACTTGCCCTTGAGTGGAGAGTAGCTAAATCAAATGGAAGAAATGATAAGATAAAAGAGCTGAACAGAAGATTTCAAAGAGCAGCTCAAGCAAACAAAGCCAATTACTATAATGAAATGTGCAAAAGCCTGGAGTTAGAAAACAGAAAGGGAAGAACACGCTCAGCATTTCTCAAGCTGAAAGACCTGAGGAGAAAATTTAAGCCTTGTGTTGCAATACTGAAAGATTCTATGGGTAAAATATTGAATCATGCAGGAAACATCAAAAGAACATGGAAGGAATACACAGAGTCACTGTACCAAAAAGACCTGGTCAATCTTCATCCATTTCAGGAGGTGGCATATGATCAAGAATCAATGGTACTGAAGGAAGAAGTCAAGCTGCACTGAAGGAACTGGCAAAGTAAAAGCCTCCAGGAATTGAAAGAATACCCACTGAGATGTTTCAACAAATGGGTTCCCCGCTGGAGGCACTTACTCGGTTATGCCAAGCTATTTGGAAGACAGTTACGTGGCCAACTGACTGGAAAAGATCCATAGCTGTACCCTTTCCAAAGAAAGTTGACCCCAGAGAATGTGAAAATTATCAAACAATATCATTAATATCACATATGAGTAAAATCTTCCTGAAGATAATTCAAAAATGGTTGCAGGAATATATTGACAGAAAACTTCCAGAAGAGCAAGCTGGATTCAGAAGAAGACATGGAACAAGGGTTATCATTGCTGATGTCTTTGCTCAAAGCAAAGAATACCAGAAAGATGTTTACTTATGTTTTATTGACTACGCAAAGGCATTTGATTGTGTGGATCATTATGGGTAACACTGAGAAGAATGGAAATTCCAGTACACTTAACTGTACTCATGAGGAGTAAACCAAGAGGCTGTCAATCGAATGGAACAAGGGGAAACAGCATGGTTTAAAATCAAGAAGCGAGTGTGTCAGGGTTGGATTCTTTCAACATACTTATTTAATGTATATGCTGAGAAAATAATCTGAGAAACTGGACTATATGAAGAAAAACGTGGCATCAGGATGGGAGGAAGTATCATTAACAACCTGCGATACGCTGACAACACAACTTTGCTTGCTGAAAGTGAGGATGACTTAAAGTACTTACTGATGAAGATTAAAGAATACAGTCTGCAGTATGGATTACATCTCAATATAAAGAAAACAAAAATCCTCACAACTGGACCTACAAGCAGCATCACGATAAATGGAGAAAAGATTGAAGCTGTCAAAGCCTTCATATTGCTTGGTTCTACAATCCACGCCAATAGGAGCAACAGTCAGGACATCAGATTTTTTTGCACTAGGCAAATCTGCTACAAAGGACCTCTTTCAAGTGTTGAAGTGCAAAGATATCTCCTTGAGGACTAAGGTATGCCTGATACAAGCCATGGTATTTTCAGTTGCCTCATATGCATGTGAGAGCTGGACAATGAATAAGGAAGACTGAAGAAGAATTGATGC